CACTTTTTGGTCTCCTGTCTTTGCTGTCCTTCTTCAGCCACCCATTTCAGTTCGTACTCTATGCCCCTCCTCTCTGCCTACCCCTTCCTCAATCATACCCATAGCCTCCTTTAGCCCTCTCCCCTTGACATCTCTGCTCTGCCACATACCCCACCCTGGGGCCCTAAGGCTAGGCTGCACCTCTTCTCTTTGTTCTGCTTCTAATTCCTGCTGACACATGTTGGGAGTGGCACCAAATTCAGTGCCATTTCTGCACAGAAGCCCCTCAAGACCTTCATGGCTAAGGTTGGGATATGGCCCTGGAGCAAGCAAGGATCTCAGTGCTGGGGTCTGGGTTCGGTTGAGCCCAGAGAGTCCAGCTGACCCTGGTCCAGCAATGGGATTCCTAATGAAAACCTCAGTGATGAATTTCAGAAAGGGAATAAAGTCCTCATGTAAACTATGTGTGGGGACCTTTAAGATCACATGGATCCAGAGACTATTCTCTAAGAATAGGGCAGCACTTGTTTGCCATAGCCTAAGATTGTCAGTAACCTGAATGTCCACCTCTAGGGAGCTAATAAAATACGTCATAATATCCCAAAAGTGTTACACATGCACCACAAATCTCTTTGATATTGATATGGAATGACTCTCAAGGTATATTTTTTGTGGGGAGAGTACCAGGAATTGAACTCAGGCACCCAACTCTGAGCCACATTCCCAGCCCTATTTTGTATTTTATTTAGAGACAGAGCCTGTTTACTGAGTTGCTTAGCACTTCGCTTTTGCTGAGGCTAGCTTTGAACTTGTGATCTCCTGCCTCAGCCTCTCAAACAAGATGTATTTTTAATTGAAAAGAACCAAGTGCAAGATAGGGTTATAGTATTGTGTTAAGAGGGGATATCTATGATGAATTGTTATTGTTCTTGTCTTTGTGTAAAATGTCTCTAAAAGCATTCAAGAAATGCCCACCTGAGTGGGGAGGGGCCTGGAAGGCTGGGGTAGGTGGTTGGGAGGCATGTTGTTGAATGCCATTATGCTTTTTTATTTTTTTTCACCATGTGAGTGTATTATCTGTTCAGAAAAGGAAGCAAAATAAATAAGAACTTAACTTGTCCCCTTGTGTCTTTGTCTTCCTTTCTTCCCATCCCCACGTTCTCTCTCTCCAGTTTACCTCTGGGGGCTCAGAGCACTATGTCAACAGCTTGGACTACTTACTGCAGGAGAAGAGGTGAGTGGAGGGGCATGTCTGTGGGGTTGGCAGCACTATAGCACTCAGAGCAAATCCATCTGAATGAAGCAGGCTTCCCTGAACAGATACAGTGCGCCCTGTGTGCACAGATTCATAACCAGCAAGTGGAGTGGAGCTGGGCCAAGGGTGGCATCTCTGAGCAGGGCACCTCACCCCCCACCATGGACAGCACCCTTGTCCGGGTGCTCCTTGGCTTCCTTATGCCCAAAGACTGGAGGTGTTCAGTTAGCAGGGAGTGGAAAATGGACAGGTGTGCCTGTGGCCTCAGGAGTCATGCTGGGCAGCACTTCCCCTGCCCTGTCCCGCCCCAGCATGGAAGCTCGCTTTCCCCTCGCAGGCTGGCTGCTCACACCTGCCCTCTCACAGTGGAGCCACACCTTGTCGCAGGTGGTTCTGGATCACTTCTGGCTGGCTTTCCCACCCTCTGTCTTCAGAAGCTTCTAGAGGCAGAATCCCCCGGCTGATGAGGATCACAGATGCATCAGGGAGGTTCAGTGGCATTGGGACCAGCCACTTTTGCTGTTGGCTGAATGCCAGCTGGGGAGGTCGGCTGGCCCTGGTGAGCCCTTGGGGTGGAAAGGCTGGACCTGCTGGCTGGAGTAGACCCTCTCTCATGCTGGGAGCAGCTGTAGCAGCTGCTCCTATGCTGGGGTCATCTTCCCAGGCTACTCTTTGATGGCATGTGAGCAAATGCTCGTGTGACCTAATTCTTCTCTGTCCCCTCTCCTGTCTGTTGAGTCATGTTTCCTCAGTGTGTGTGGTTGGGTTGCGTCTGCAGAAGCTGAGTGTAGACGGGGCAGTTTACGCTTAGGGCTCTGGCCTCACGGCTCCACTAGGCACTCAGGCTGGAGACTTGATTTTCCCAAGTTCCTCGCTCTGCCTTCTTGCCCACAGGTGGGCGTTAAACACACATGTGAGACTGATTACTGCTTTCTCTGCCTTTGTCCTTTTCTGGCCCTCTGCCTCCACCCACAGAATCGGCCTCCCTCCTCCTCCCAGCTCCTCTGACTTTTGTTTAGCTTCCTGAACCTGAGTATTTCCTCCCAACCAGATGGCAGGTTAGGGAAGGAGCCGTGTCTATGTATTTCCATGGTGCCGAGCACTGGGCCCTGAATTCATAGATGCTTGAAAATATCGACAGGAAAGTGAATGCTTGTGGAAAACCCATACCTGGCTGTCAGTGTGCCTAGCAGTGGGAGATTCTTGCTCTTTTCTTGCTCTTTTCTTTTGTTCAGTAGCACACCTGGGGGCCTTTCAACAACAGGCACTTATTTCAAGTGGGAAGTTCAAGATCAAGACTCTGGCCAGTTGGGTTACTGATTCAGGTTGTTCCTGTTTTACAGACAGCCACCTTCTTGCCATGTCCTCATGTTGCAGAGAAAGCAAGCTCTCTGGTTCCTCTTGTTACAAGGACACTGATTCTATTGGACCAGGGTCCCACCCTGTGACCTCATTTAACTTTAATTATTTCCTTACTCCAAATTCAGCAACCCTGGGGTTTAGGGCTTCATGAATGGGTGGGCCGAGGCGTGGACATTTTCAGTGCATGGCACACCAAGCACTGGGCCTGGGCCAGGCACTGGATATGTGTAGCGCCTGTTCACCTGGAAATGGAACAGAATGGATGTGGTATTTTCTAGTCTCTGGAGCTACTATGGGGGCCCCAAAAGAGCACTGCTTACTTAATGGTCAGGAAAGGCTTCCTGGAGATGTTCTTGTCCTTGACCCTTGCAGGATAATAAGTTTTGTTTGGGAAGGATAAGCCCTGTGTAGAGGCAGGTGGGACAGGCCAGGCTGCTCCTGGCCAGCAAGGATAAGAGTCTTCTCATTGAGGAGTAGGAGGAAGGAGGCAGGAGATACAGTTGAGGTAGCAAGGGGGGTGGATGGCGTGTAAGCACAGGTTGAACCGTGGGAGAATTTTAAGCAGGCACAGATGTATTTAAAAAAGAACATGCTGGTGGCCTTTGGAGAACTGGTGGCTCACATCAGGAAACCCTGGGAGGAGCTTGAGGGACCTCTGATGGCTCTGTGGCCTGAGTAGCCGGGAAGTGGGGGCCTTTGTGGGAAAGAGGAAGGCACACTTGGCCATATCACACTCAGCTGGAAATCATCTATTTAGTGGTAATAGAAGGATCTGAGCACAAGAGAGAGGCCTGGGTTGGAGAGAGAATATTTCAGAACTGATAGCCCATGGTACTTGATAGCCCATGCTGCTGCTGCAGCACCACCCTAACTTCACCTGGGATCTCCTGGCAGGTACTTGGAGGGGCTAGAGTGGGGCTGGGGAGGCACGGACAGTGGAAGCTGCAGGACAGCTTGCTGCCCACTCAGGATTTGCAGAGTGGTTAGGGAATGTCTTGGGCCGTTTTCTGTTGTAGAAGTAGAATAGCTGAGATGGGGTGATTGTAAAGACCAGGGTATTTTGGCTTGAAGCACTGGAGGTCCACAAGCACCTGCCAGCATCTGGTGAGAGCCTCGTGCTGCTGCATGTGTGGCGGGAAGGTGGGGGCCACACAGAAGAGAAAAGGGGCAGAGCTCCCGTGAGAGCCAAGAAGAGCTTAGTCTTTCAGAGGCCGTACCCCCTCGACTAGCACCTCTTACAGGGCTTCCACCTCTCAGTACTATCACACTGGCCTTCAGATTTCAGCATGAGTTTTGTTGGAGCCAAGTCATAATCAAACCACAGCATGGAGTCAGAGCCCCAGCAAGATAATGGTGCACACAAGGGGCCTGTGGTCACAACTGGTTGGAAGTAAACAGGGCTCCAGGCTACTGAAGGACAAGGGACAAAGGGTTGGGAGATACAGGGAGTGAGCAGGGGCTGGAGGGCTCTTGCTATCTGTGACTGGAGAGCCAGACAGTGAGTCAGGGACACCAAGGAGTCCAGGGTGTGGTTCTGCCCGGCTGTGCAGCTGGACCTGTGGGAGCAGAAGAGCCAGGCTCAGGCCTAGTGTGTTTAAAAAAAAAAAAGAGTGAACTCCAAAACAATGTCCACGAAGCTACACATAACATTGAGTGTCGGAACCCATCTTCCTTCAGGCTTATCAACTCATCTCTTCTCACTGGAGGCAGCACAGTGCGTGGATGCAGTGACTCCCACACCCCGCAAACTCAGACCCGGGTGCCTTCCTGCAGGGAGACCAGGGTGACTCGGCCTCTGCTTGCTAGCCTTGTGGGTGTATAGGGGTGCTTACAGCCTGGTGACAGGCTCTGTCTTCTTCCCCACAGGGAGCAGGCCCGGGAGCAGGAGCAGGAGAAGCTGCTGCTGCAGCACCACCCTGACTTCACCTCAGATCTCAATGAAGACGAAGTGCCGCTGGCCCCCGAACACAGGTGCTGGGCCGGGGCCTCCTGCAGGTGTGGTCAGAATTTCAACCAGCAATTTGTAGGCCGTTCTTGAGCTCTAAAGCAGAATCCTACTCTTATAGCCACATTTATTCATTGATTCAAGAAATATCTGATCAGCTGGTGGGCATCAGGGTCCAGTCTGGCCTTAGAGGACACAGATCATAAAACACAGCCCAGTTAACTGTCCAAGTTCACGAAACCAGATCACTTTGGAAAATAGCTACACGAAACCACATAACTGAAAACTGCCTTTCAAGGGGGATTATGGCCACATGACTTTTTTTTTTTTTTTTTTAATCTTCCTGTCTGGGGAAAGAAAGTGACTTTTTCAGTGCTTTCATCTGGGTCAAGACTGTGTTGGCCCTGGTTTAATTGGGCTGTTGGCTGGAGGGAGATCCGGATTAATTTGTACAACAGGGTCCGGGTCTTGGAGATGCCTGAGGACCACAGTTGAATCCTTTTTCTTTTTTTTTTTTCCATACTGGGGATTGAACACACAGGCACGTAACCACTGAGACACTTCCCTAGCACTTTTTATATTTTATTTAGAGACAGGGTCTTGCTAAGTTGCTTAGGGCCTGACTAAGTTGTTGCTGAGGCTGGCTTTTAACTCATGATCCTCCTGCCTCAGCCTCCCTAACTGCTGGGATTATAGACATGTGCCACTGTTCCAGGCTTGAATCTGTCTTTAGGGTCTACTGTTTTCTATCTGCCTTATTTTTTTGAGCTGCTGTGGCAGAGCACCATGGAATAGGTGACTTGTGAAGAACAGAAATGTTTCTCAAGCTCTGGAGACTGGGAGTCCAAGACCAGGGTGCCCGGATGCTCAGGCTGCACAGGGGGCCCTCTTCCAGGCTGCAGAGCACTGATGTCTTGAGTCCTCACTTGGCAGAAGAGGGCTAGAGAGCTCTCACTAGTCTTGTTCACAGCGGCCCCAAACTCATGATCTGATCACCTCCCACAGGCCCCATCTCCCAGTTACCTTGAGGGTTGGGATTCCAACATCTGAATTTTGGAGAGACACATTCAGTCTATCACACCATCCATCCACCCATTTGTCCATCCACTCATGCATTCATCCAACAGATGTTTATAGAGTACCAACCTGTGCCAGGCGGCTAGATCCTGAGGATATAGCAGGAGTGAAAGCAGCCTGCTGTCTGCCCTGACGTCGCTGGAGTCAGGGTAGGGAGAGGAACAGTGAACAAGGTAAATGCAGCCGTGACAAGTGCTCAGGAGAGGAGGGCGCACAGAGGCCATACGGGGGTTTGAAGGAGGCAGGCGCAGAAGTCTTCCATGAGAAGGTGGCTTTCAGGAGACCCCTGAGAGGGGAGAGAAGCTCGGGCCTGTGGTGGGAGTGCTCCTAGCATGTTGGGAGCAGTGGATGGGGGCCAGGAGGTTGGGGAGGCTGGTGGTGGGCACCTACTTCACAACTCTTCCCCCACGTGAGCTTCCACAGCTGACGTGACGTGCATCCAGAGGAGGACCTGTGGCTACTCTGTTGGGTAGGCTGTGAGGACAGGCAAGGGCAGCAGGGAGAGAGCAATGAGGGTGTGCTGGGAAAACTAAAGCATAAGCCTCCTTTCCCTCTGTTGTCACCACAGTCAGCTCAGGAGATGTGACTGTCCTCCCCGCCCCAAAGGCAGGGACCCCACAGGGTGCCCTCAGGCCAACTCAGCTCTGACTCCACCTGCCCAGAGATAGTGGCTGATCCCACAACGGGAGGGCTCAGCCACAGGACTGCTGGCGCCTCCGTGCCATCGCAATGCTGGCTGCTGCACTGTCCCCCAGTGACCAGGCATAAGTCAGGCTTCCTGCAAGCCCTCCTTGGGTTTGGCTTGACTTGCTGGTGGCTCACAGAACTCAGGGAAATGTGTGTTGCCCAGTTTACTGTGAAGAATGTTAAAAAGGATGCAGTTGAAGAGGTGCTGAGTGAGGTTGGGGCAGGCGCAGCATCCAGCCCTCCCTGGGCAGCCGCCCTCCAGGGACCTCCACACGTTCAGCCCTCCAGAAGCTCTCTGGACCCACGTCCTTCTGGGTTTTCTGGAAGCTTCGTGGCATAGACAAGATTTCTGATAGACCAGGTGGGGAAGCCCAGCGAGGGCTGTGTGGTCAGCTGCCTTTATCCAGGGTGTGGGCAGGACCCTCAGGAGCCAGGAGGGTCTTATGACCTCTGATCAGACAAAGGAGGTCACAGAATATCTCTGTGGCCAGCTGGGGCAGGGAAGATCGGTGTTTCTTTGATCCTTGGGGGATACCTTAGGGAAGAAAAATTCTAGCTTCCGTGCTCTTCCTCAGGGAGGGAGTTAAGAACTAGGAAACATGGATGAGAACTGTGGGTGGGGAGGTGCAGGAAAGTTCTGGATATGTTTTCAAGATAGAACTGAGAGAATTTGCTGACAAGCTAGATTAAGGATGTGGCAAAAGGAGGGAATCTAGAAGGGAACCCCAAGTGTTTGGCCCCAACAGCTAGAGGTTAGGAGTATCTTTAAATGGGAAGACTTAAGTGATCACAGGATAGGTTGGGGTTGGATATGAGGTCAAGAATTCACTTGGGGAATTCTAGGGGCAAGATCGGGCAGGTGGCTTGGAGCATGAGCCTGGGAGTTCTGTGTGGAGGTGGCATTTGCTACCTCGAAGCTGGATGAGAACAAGTACCCCGGGGAACGAGTACCTGAGAAGATCAGGACCCTGAGCACCTAGAGGCCATCAGCAAGAGCAGAAGAGGATGCTGTGTGGTCTGGAGGGAAACCAGCTGCCAAGTACTGGCAACCAATGGTCAAATCAGGGCGATTGAGAAATGACCATTGCATTTAGTAAAATAGTGGTCATGGTGACCTTGACAAGAGCAGCTCTGGTGGGCTGCTGGGATCATGCCTGACTGGAATAGATTCATGGAGGACAGGGGAGAGGACAGGAGAGTAAGATGGGCAGTGGCTGGAGGAAATGGGGTCAAGGTACGTTGGTAGGTTGTTTGGTTGGTTGGTTGGCTTCTTTCTTTCTTGGGGAAAATAACAGCATGTTTCTGTGCTAATGGGAATGCTGTGGGAGAGGGGGCATTAAAGTTGGGGTGGAGGGGGTCTTCAGGATCCCTGTGCCCTAGAGTAACCCCTGCCATTGGTCTTGCTGGGTGCTATCCAGGCTTCCCCCCACCCTGAGCCTGAGTGTGCTTTAGCACTGGTCCAGGCCATTATGGGCAAAGCTTTGATAAATGCTCAATGTTCTATGTCCATTTCCGAAGGGGTGTTGAGTGATATAAAATGTACATGTCCTCAGAGCCTTGCTCTTAGGATCCCCAAAGAATTCACACCATTCTTGTTGCTCAAAGGTGATTGTAAGGCTGTGCACATGCCTATAATCCCAGCAGTTTAGGAGGCTAAGGCAGAAGGATCACAAGTTCAAAGCCAACTTCAGCAACTTAGTGAGGCCCTAAGCAACTTAGCAAGACCCTGTCTCAAAATAAAATATAAGGAGTGCTGGGGATGTGGCTGCATGGTTAAGCACCACTGAGTTCAGTCCCTGGTACAAAAAAAAAAAAAAAAAAAGATTGTGAGCAACACCATGGCTGGCCATTTGTCTTTTTTTCTCGACATTTTCTGATAATCACCTCTGCACTAGACCAAATATCAGCAGAATCTTACTGTGAAGTTTGTGGAGAGTCAATGTAACTTTGAACCTGTGATTCTCTGTAGCAGAGGCTGGACTCCGCTATTGTTGGGTGAAAGCTGCCACAGACAACAGATCGGCGCGTGGGCCTGTGCATGCTGGCGTGGCCGGCCTGGCCTCGCTTAGGAGGACCTGTTGTTACCCAGGAAGGCCCATTCTGCCTGCCACCCAGTATGCCAGCCACCGAAGGAATGGGTTTTGCAAAAGAGAAGGAGTTTATTCAGAAGGCAGTCCCAGGTTCACACATGAGGAGCCCCACTGAAGTTCACCTTCCCCAGGGGTAGGGTTTAGGGGTATTTATGGGATAGAAAAAGAGTGATCTGAGAGACTGGAGCAGTAGGACAGTGATGGGAGGCAGGGAAAGTGAACCAGCCACAGTCCATGCAGGTACCATCAGCTACCCATTTCTTCATGGGACCCATGTTCAGAAAATGGCTGCATTAGCAGCTCTGAGTGTGGAGTTTGGAGCCCTCTGATGTCAAAGGTCGCCCATCAGAAAGTCACCTGTGCAGGTGCAAGTGCAGATCCGTGGTTTCAGCTGAGTTGAGGAAGGGAGACAAAAAGCTGTCTGAAGATTTTTGAACAACTTGGGCAGCTGTGACCATTGTGACCCTGTCAGACATCATCAGTTGCAAGATCACTGGGGGCACACCACTTGGCTAAAGACCTTTCAATGAAAATAGAAGGGAGTGGCTAAAAGCAAGCACAGCGAGAGGTTGTGTCCGGGCTCCCCTGGGCTTGTCTGGATGGTGGGGAGTCTGGGAACTCATTGGGATTGGAACCATTGTCCCAGATAAGCAGGCAGAGTTTCTTGCACAGTGCAGGAGATCCAGGGCAGGGCTGCCGAGAAGTGCCCCCCTTGAATTCCAGGAGGGCAGGTGCTGGTGCTGCCTGATATCCCAGCAGATTCAGAGCTTCCCTCTCAAGAAGGCCTTGTGGTACCCCATGACCAAGGCCATCTTCTCTGTGAGCTGAGGCATGGATTGGGCTTCTGGCTTCCCACTTGCTGGATAGATAGGCTCTGAATGGAACCTCTCAAAACCTTTGTAAAATCTCTGTAGCAAGAATAACTGTTGCCATTGTTCCCTCTCTACTGACCACATCTAGGATGCTGTAAGTCAGGGCTTGGAGGTTTCACAGTTCCTCACTTTAGAAAGGGAGTTATCTGTGTAGCCAGCTTAAAGCAGGAGATACTCCTGGCTTTGAAATCCCTGCTGGTTTTCTGAGCTCGTGACGTTTTCCAGTGGTGCTTTGAGAATGCCTCTTTGACAACAGTCACTTTGAGGTGGTTGTTTTGATGTGGGATCATTCTGATGGGACTGTTCAACCTGATGCCTAAAAAAGAAAAAAGGCAACTCAGTACAAAGCCCAGCAGCCTATTCTGTCTCTGAAGAGGCCCAGGAAGTGGTGGGGCCAGGGAACAGGCTGTGAGTCTGAAAGGGGTGCAGCTGAGGTGGGGCCAGGCCCCAGCCAGACAAGGCGATTAGGATTGCCACAATTGCCTGTCCCAGAAAGGACACCAAGATCCTGAGCATGTCTGCTCGTGGCCTGGGAATGGCCTGTGTCTGGAAGGGATGACATCCTAAATTCTTTCTTCAAGTTAAAAGACCTAAGTGTGTGCCAGGGCAGCAGGGGGTGGTGGGGCTTGGGGGGTGGATATTTAAAACACAGCATCATCCTTTATTGCCAGCTCCAGGCTGCACAGGAAATCCTCAATTAGATGTGTAATTGTCGTCTCAGAATGGCTAATAATGTGCATACATTATAGTCAACATCACAAAAATCCCTTTGGTTTTGGGGACAGGGCTGGGCCCCCTTCACAAATGAGCCCAATTCTTACAGAACTTTTAAAAATTTGCAAATTTTTCCTGACTATAAAAGCAATATAAGCTACAGTAGATACTCATAAAAGTCTGATGGCAAAGACATAAGCAAGAACTCATTTTACCACTTGCATGGCAGCTTTTTATTTTTAAGTTGTTGCTGGGGCTTTATTTTATTCATTTATATGTGGTGCTGAGAATTGAACCCAGTGCCTCACAAGTGTGAGTCAAGTGCTCTACCACTGAACCACAACCCCAGCCCTTGCATGGTGGTGTGTTGAGATGGTTTCTAAAAGCCTTCAGATCAGATCTTCCTGTCCCGTCAGTGGTCCCATTCATTGTCCCATTTCATTCTCAGCAGAGCCCTGGGATGTAGGTGGGGCCTTACCTGGGGCCACTTGGGCTGAGAGGGAAACAGGTGTTCATGGCTGGCCAGCAGGCTGCAGGCTTCGCACTCACCTCCAGTGGCAGCTGTGGGTGTCCCAGATCCTGATGAGCCCCTGAGCTGTTCCTAAATTTGCTGTCTCAGACAGCAGGCCTGGCTGGGAACCTGACTGGGCATGGACTGTCTTCTGGAGAGAAGAGGGAAAGCAGTGTTTACAGCTTATTTAGTTTTATTGTTGTTAAATGTATGTTATATTACTATAACATTAAGCAGAACTATCATATATGAAGTAAACAGAACATGTCTTCTCTCTCCTCATCCTAATCCTGTCCCCTAGGGATGACTGTTCTAGATCACAGTGGGGTATGTCTTGTGTGTCTGAGTAGATTTGTATTCTTGTATACAAACATGTAGATATTCCCCCCTTACCCATGTTTCACCTTCCATAGTGTCAGTACTTGCCCATAGTCAACTGCTCTCTGAAAATATTAACTAGAAAGTTCCAAAAATAAACAATTCAGTTTTAAGTTGCACATCATTCTAAGCAGGATGAGGAAATCTCATGATGTCCTGCTCCATCTTGCTCAGGACATGAATCATCCCCTTGTCTAATGTATCCACACTGTATACACTGCTCACCAATTAGTTAAGAATTGGATTATCTGATTGACTGTCACAGTATTGTAGTGCTTGTGTTCAAGTAACCCTAATTTTATTTAACAGCAGCCCCAAACTTCCGAGTAGTGATGCCAGCTAATCAGATATGCCAAGGAGATAGTATAAAGTGATTCCTTTAAGTGAGAGGATGAGCATTCCCAATAAGGAAAGAAAAAATTATTTTCTGTGTTGCCAAGATCTGGAATGGAAGAATGAATCTGTGCAATTAATAGTTTTGCTTTCACACTTCAAACTGCATAGATTACAGCCATGATGTGTGATAAGTGCTTATTTATGGAAAAAACAAGCTATAGCGTTCGATACTATATAAGTAAGGTTCCAGGCATCCACTGAGGGTCTGGGAGCATATTCCACAGGGGCAGAGGGTATGACCACGCGCGCGCGTGCACACACACACACACACACACACACATATCCTGTTCTGCAGCTTGCCATTTCTACCCACCAGTGTACAGTAGTCAGGTGTCCATGCCAATCTGTCACGTAGAGATTTAGCTCACTGTTGGGAACCATCTGAAAGCCTTCCTTTTCCCATCCCCGTTTCAGAGGGTCCCCTCTTCCCTTTTCCTTCCCTGTTCATGGGCACAGCTCCGATCTACTAAATCAGACGCTTGGCAGGAATAGGCAGGCTCTGCGCTTAGCTGGAGTCAGGGGAGAATCCAGCCCTGGCAGCTGGCCTTGATGCCCTCCTGCTGTCCTGTGCTTCCACCCAGCCCCTGTGGCCCCTGGGCCACTGCTTCCTCAGCCCTCCCAGGACACTCTCCCTGGCCCTGGCTGCACCAGCCCTTCTGCCCACTCTCCCTGCTCGCACTGTGTGGGCTGTTCTGTTGTGGGTCCCTCCCCTAGCCAGTGAATACTGCGGTGAGTTTACACTTCTCTTGGTTGGCCAATGCTGATGCACCCTTCAACACCTGGCCTTGAAAACATGCAGTGAAAGTTGACCTGAGCAGAGCTCCTGGGTGGAACCGGTGCTGGCTCCCCATCCCCTGGCCCTGAAGTGGTGTTCTGATAGAGCAGGCTGGTGAGGGCTCCATGTCTACAGGTACATGGCCCTTCCTTCATCAGCAGGTGGTGCTGTCCCTCTGGTCTACAGGGGGCGCCCCTGGGCCATCCGTCCTTCCCTACATGCTTTAAGCCCAGATGTGCCTCTGACCCCTGCTCCCCTCCCCTTGCCTCTCCAGGATGCTGGTGGAGAGGTTCTCTGTGTCCCTGCAAGTCATCCCACCTGTGCATCCGGGTGAGACTGTGTTTCTGCCCAGGCGTCACCCCCTGCCCTGCATTCTGGACTCCTCACATCTAAAGCCACACAACCACCTTGAAGAACTGTTTCTCAGGTAAGTGTGTTGGTGGGGGCAAAGCCTCGCCAGGCCCCTTCCCTCTAGAGCCCAGGGATAAGGGACACCCCAAAAGAGGTCATCCAGAGCCATGTTTTGATCAATGGCTGTGTGCTCTTTTAGGGATACCAGTGACATAGTCATGCCTGTCTACTTATAAAATTTATTAATTTAGCACAAACTATAAAAAATCTTCCACTGTTGCACAAACAATCTGTGAGTGGGGCGCAGCATACAGGGCCTGGGGTTTACGGTTCAGTCAGCCCTGGGACCAGTTTCTGGGCCATCCACAGCAGGGCCCCCTTATCCTTAGTGTCACATTCTGCAGTTTCAGTTACTTGTGGTCAACTGTGGTCTGAAAATATTATATGGAAAATTCCAGAAATAAAAAGTTCATTGATTTAAGTTGTGTCCCATTGTGAACAACATGATGGAGTCTCAGGCCGTCCTGCTCTGCTCCAACTGCAGAGTGGATCCCCTCTTGCCCGGTGAATCCACACTGTTCCAGTTGCCCATGAGTGTCCTTGTAACTATCCCTGTCATCAGAGCTGCTGTTGCAGGGTCTCAGTGAGTTCAGGTGACCTCTGCTTCACAAGAGCAGCAATGCTGGGAGTTCAAACAAGCCCCGGGAACAGAGAAGCACTTCCTTTAAGTGAAAAGGTGAGAGTTCTTGATTTAAGGGAAGAAAAAAGTGATATGCTGTGGGTGCTGCGAGCAGAGGTAAACCAGACCTCCAGTCCAGGGAGCCAGGAAGCAGAACTCTGCTAGCTTTGCCATCACACCTCTACTTACAAAAATTTGGGCCATAGTGTGTGCTAAATGTTTAGTGAAGTTGGAAAAGGTACTAAATTGTAGGGTTTGGTACTATCTACCATTTTGGGCTTCCATTGGGGATCTTAGAACATGCCCCCCACAGGGAATGAGGGAGCACTGTATTTGCTGGAGACGTGGCACCTCCTTGGTCTGTGGGATGCCAACACAGAAATTTTTCCCTAGCCACGGGCACACCTGATAACAGGAGGAAGCTGTCTTGTTCCTCTCCTTTTGGGGAGTAAATGTATCCCTATTACACATAACCACCTACTAGATTGCTTTTTAAGAGGATTTTTAAATGATTTACCACAATAATGTTCAACACTTAGAGTTGTAAGAAAGAAAAAGTCCACGGGATTCAATGCAATTGTAGTTTTCCAGGTACCCTGCTGGGTTGGACGACAAGGGAATGTAAAAAGGGCCACCATTGGCCACCTGTAAGGAGCACAGAAGTTGGACTGCTTCTGTGGTCTCTTAGGCCACATTAAGACTTAAACATAGGAATCTTACTCTCTTTTCCAGCCATGCAGGGCTTTCTTATGAATGTTAGTTCATTTTCCATTACAATAACTAAATACCTGAGGCTGGGTACTTACAAAGAAAAAAGCTCATAGTGGAGGCTGAAAGTCCAAACAGCATAGCAATAGTAGTGGTGAGAGCCCATAGTTGCATCATCTCATGGCAGATGGCACTGCATGGTAGGAGTCTGTGAGAGGGAGGGATCTCAGGCCCAGACTGGAAGCCAAAGAAAAAGTTCAGGGAAGGATCCACTAATGACCACTTGAGGCTCCACCTCTGAAACATCCCTACACCTCCTATCATCTCCATGTTGGGGACCAAGCTTCTAAAACTCGACCCTCTAGCATACACACTCACTGTGCTAATCACGGCATTAGGTTTATTTCATTAATTCTGAGTTCATCATATTTTGTAACATAAAGATTATTCTTAATATTTTGATTTTTCCTTTAAAAGTTTTTTTTTTAATTTTTCTTAATGTTATTGTATTTTTTATACCTTTATTTTATTTATTTATTTTTACGTGGTGCTGAGAATTGAACCCAGTGCTTCATACATGCCAGGCAAGCACTTTACCACCGAGCCACAACTGCAGCCCCTCCTTTAAAAGTTTTTATCGTAGAAAATTGCAAACATATAAAAGTAGAGTGAACAGTGGCATTCACCTGTAATCCTAGCTACTTGGGAAAGTAAGGCAGGAGCATTGCAAGTTTGAAGTCAGACTAGGCAACTTAGACCCTGTCTCAAAATTTTTAAATTTTTTTTTTAAAGAACTGGGGATATAGCTCAGTGGTAGAACCCTTGCCTAGTGAGGTCCTGGGTTCTATAAAATAAAATTTTATAAGGAAAATAAGAGTAGAGTAGTGAAGAACATAACCTATCTCCATGTATCCGTCTGTCAATTCAGCACGGATCAGCTCAAAGCCAGTCTTTTTCCTTTCTGCTCCACCCAACAACACCATTCCCCCAGGATTACTTTCTAGGAAAATCTCAGACACACATAATTTAATCTGTAAATATTTCAGATTATGTCTCTAGAATATAGCACTCTACTTTTAGACGTAATTTTAATACTACTATTGCACCTAAAAATAGTAATTTCTTATCATTCGTATCAGTCAGTATTAAGATGTCAGGTGTCTTGCCAGGTGAAGTGATGCAAGTGTGTAATCCCAGCTGCTCGGGAGGCTGAGGCAGGAGGATAGCAAGTTCTAAGCCAGCCTCAGCAAATCTGTGAGGCCCTAAACAACTTAGTGAGACCCTATCTCAAAATAAAAAAGGGCTGGAGATGTAGCTCAGTAGTTAAGTGCCCCAAGTTCAATCCCTGGTACAAAAAAAAAAAAATTGTTTTTCAGTTGTCTTTTTTTTTTAATATATTTACTTTATTTATTTTTATGTGGTGCTAAAGACTGAACCCAGTACCTCACGTGTGAGGGGCAAACACTCTACCACTGAGCTTTAACCCCAGCGCCTTCAGTTGTCTTTTTTTTTTTTTAATATTTTAATGTTTATTTTTCAGTTTTCAGTGGACACAACATCTTTATTTTATTTTTTATGTGGTGCTGAGGATTGAACCCAGCTCCCCGTGCATGCCAGGCAAGCGGGATACCGCTTGAGCCACATCCCCAGCCCCCTTCAGTTGTCTTATCAATGATTTTATGTAGCATCTGAGCTGGCCCAGGCACTGCAGCAAACAGTGTAGTGCCGCTTTGCCCTGGTACCTGGACACCTTAACCATTTTCCTGGCTTTTGGACACACACATTATAAGCCACATGATGGGCATATTCTTTCACAGAAGCACTTGCCTGAAGGTCTAGAGTGTTGCTGGCAGCTGTGTGAGATTATTGGGTGTGCAAGAGCATTGGTCAGGGTTCACATTACGATCTGGAAAAAGGACCTAACAGAACTGATAAAAAAAAAAAAAAAACTGAAGGAAAAAGAAGAAGGAAGGGTAGTGGAGTTGGAGAAAGAAGAGATACAGACTCTAGGGCAGCGGAGAGAGGGAGGCTCCCTCCCTGCCTCAGCCCCGGCTGTGCCCACAGCAGGTCTCCCGTCCTGGACTGGCTAGTGGACAGAAGTGTTGACAGATGAGCCCCATATGGAGTGGTGACCCACGATCAGCCAGTGCTGCCAAACAGGGCCAGGTGGCCTCCCAGCTTCCCTCCTCCCTCAGATATGCTAATGAGCCTCCAATCCTGTGGCTTTGGGAATCTGCACAGGGCTTCCTGGAGGAATGCCCTGCCCGCTGTGTGACACTGGGATGTGACATTGTCGGTGGCTCCCGTGGGGCAGTGGGCAAGGGCCACTTCCTGGAGGTCACCATTTAGCCTTGGGTCATCTTTCATTTCCTATTTATGCCAAAGACTTCAAGTTCAGACACAGAATGGGAAAGGTCCTAGTGACCAACAGGACCCTCTCATATTCAGCCAGAGGGTACCAGGTCTTGCAGTGCAGAGAGTTCACACTTTGTGAGCTGGCAGGAGATTTTATTTTCCTAGTTAAACGCCTCTGCCTTTTCCAAACTTTCTACAATGAAGGTATAATTTTTATCATTGGAGGGAGAGAAAGTGTTATTTTTTTAAAATCACCTCTTGAAATAGATTCACTTCTCCTTACCCTTCTGTGAAGGGAGAAATATCTTTCTTTTCTCTGAACAAAGTGGGAAATGCCAGCACAGATCAAGCAAGCTGTTCACCTTGGGTCACAGAGCAGGTGCAGGTGGGCTGGGCAGCAGAGTGCAAGAGACCTCCCTGACTGTGGCCTGCACAGGTTTGTGTGGCTGAATGTGTGACCTTGGGTCACTCCCTGGAATCAAAGTAACATGTCCTAATGACAGCAGTTGGTGTCAGCCAATTCCAGGAGCTGAAGTTTTTCCTCCTTCCTTGAGAGCAATTCAAAAGCAAATCAGATTCTCCCTAGTGCAGAGCATCAGAGCAGACATGAGCTCCACAGAAAGGGAGAGGTGGCCTGCCTGGCTGGCTTGCTCACAGGCTTTCCTTAGAGTCCACACATGTCCTCTGGGCACATCTGCCACTACTGGCATGAGGGTGGGCATGGGGCAGGGTGTTCCTGTGGGAAGACTTCAGCAGGCAGGAAGAAGCAGCAGGAGGGTGAGTCCAGTCTCCTCACCTCGGTGGCACTGCATGTACCTGCACCTTCCCGAGGCCCAGCAGCCCTGGTTCCTGTTCAGATTCGAGCACCTCCTCCTCCTGGAGGGGGCCACCAGGGTTGGAGCTGTGAGTAGCGATCCACCAGCTGTGGGCTGTGGACAGGACTCAGTCCTGCTGGCTGCAAATGCCCCTTGTTATGAATAAAGCAAGCTGGGCCGGTGTTGGGAGCCCTGGGCTTCTGACCAGGTAGCTCTCTTAGCTTTAAACAGAGGAAAGAAAGAAACAGAAGAGGGGTGCAGGAGAAGGCCGGCCCTGTTGTTCTTTGTATTCTGCTTAGGCATTTACTTAAACTTTCTTTTGAAAACCTGGCGAGCGCCCAGAAACCAATACTGTATAAATAACTGCCCTTGGTGTTTATCCTCCTGCCATCACTTGGGATTCGTGAGGCATTTGGAGACTGCCCACTGGGACTGGTGCCCATAAAATAGGCAAGGAGGTAGAAGCTGGAATAATCTTCCCTTGGACATTATCAGGATCATAAATTCCAAGGAGACCCAGGCTCTGCTCCAACAGCTTGGTGTGCAGAACCAGGCTGGTCCCCCACTTGGTCCATGCTCGTCCTGAGGGCCTCCCCTTTGGGCCAATTTTCTCCCCTTTTTTCCTTCTGTTCCAGCAGGCGGTGATGGGGAGAGACATCTGCCTTCTGTCATTGCCATCATGGCTAGGGATTAGCAGTGCCCTGGCTATGGCTGGACACACAGCTGAGGCCCTCGTGGGAACCTCCCTTCACTGGGACCCTCTGGGGTGACAGCTGGGGCTTCACACTCAGCTGGGCCTGCATGCCATCTGCTGTCCCTCCCCTTCTCCGCCAGGGTCCTTTGGCATTCTCAGGATAACTTTTGACCTCATCAGTGTTGGCAGAGGCACCCACAGGCCCCCAGCATCAGCATTTTTGTTGTGGAGATATGACACTGGCTTTCTCAAATCTGACAACTCCTGATTCTGTCACCCAAGATTCTTGAGATTCTGCTGTAGACACCTCCCACCTCTTCCCTTTTCCTCATCTCCCTGCTTGGATGCTGGCCTGGGGGGCCCCTTCTTCCTGCCCCAGACGCAGGGCAGTGTGCACACAGGGTCAAGCCCAAGGTTACTTGTGCTGTGAAGGACTCCCTCCCTGGCCGGGTGCAGGGCTGTCTGGGTGGGCAGCACTCCCCTTGTGCTGAACAGGTGCCCCACTTGACTCTGGGGTCCAGCCTGTGTCTCATCTCGCTCCTCGTGATCTCGTGTACTTCTGGACCCAGAATTCCTTGAAAGCCATTTGTTCCAAGGCAGAGCCAGAATGTGCCTTTCCTGGCTGTCTAGTTTCTTATCTCACAGATGAAACCAAGCTCAACAGCAGTGAACTCAAAAGATCTGTCATTTCTCTGGCAGAAACTGCTCTGCAAGGCCTGTGTAGCAGAAGGAAGACTTTGCGACCCAAGAGATCTCTCCCTCAGTGCAACAGTTGGAAATGTGTGGCCCAAACCAGCAGGGACTTGTACTGTTGGCTCCCTCTCCAAGAAACTGGCAGGGTACCCCCAGCCCACAGCAGGATACCAGAGCCAGAGTCTCCTCAAAGTTCTCCTCAAAGTGCCTCAATGTGTGGCCTCCGGCAGGGTTCTGCCAACATGCAGGTCCCTACAGACACCCCTCAGTATCATCTGCACTCAGGCTGTAGGGCCTGTGCTTATGCCGTACACTTTGGGGTCAGCTGGCCAAAGCACCCCTGTGACTGGGCACGTGGGGTAGCACAGAGCGTGCCCCAGCAGCCCTGGGTGCGCACGTGTTTGGGAGCCCTGAACTTCACGGCCACAGGAACAAAGCCTCTTTCTCCTCTGAACTTAAATGACTTTGAAAAAAAAACATACAATTTGTAAATTGCCTGGACATCCTCAGGGAGACAGCATCTTGGCTCTGAGGGGAATCTTGGCTTTGGAGTGTTCTGTTCCTGGCAGATGAAAGCGTGACGTCCTTTTCCAAAGGGGTGGGGGCTGAGCGAGGATGGTTCTATCTCGGGTCATGACATTAAATGCTATCTGAGTGTGCCTGCGTGGATCTGGCCACCAAAAAGAACAAACATAAAATCACTTTCTTGTTTTCCTGGAATCCACGTAGTCGTTGGGGGCATTATCTAGAAAGACAAAGTAATGGAGCAAGTATATAGCGAGTGGGAGCTCCTGCCCCGACCTGGCCTGCCTAGGGGTGACCAGGAGTTTGGGGAATGCACCAGAGTGCGGCCAGCCCCTCTAAATTGACCTCCAAAGCATCTGCCACCAGAGGACCTCTGGCCACATCAGGTACATCTGCCCACTCAGTGGAGACCAGAATCCTGTAGGTCAAGGTGATTTTCCAGGGCTCCTCTCCACATCAGCAATCTGGCTCTGAGGACTCCAGTTAAAGGGAGGGGCCTGGTGGGAAGGCACTGAACGTACTGGCAGGTCACGCCCTGATCCAGGGACAGGGAGTTTCTAAAGAATCCTCTGGGGAACCCTCACTTGGTATTTCCTTCCCAGAATTTCCCCATTCTGGGCCCCTCTCTGTTATTTTCCCATCCTCTCAGGTGTCCCCTTTGTGTTGGAAAAAAAAATACAAGATGGGGAGGAAATGCTCTGTGTAACTGGACCCGGAGGCCTGTGGGTAATCCTGCCTGCCCCCTGCAGCCCTGAGCCACAGGTGGAGAAGCCTGACTCCTCCGTTCTTGCCTCACCTCACCAAGATCCTTTCCCCACCCCTGGTAAATGCCTCAGTTTTCCCCTCCATCAAATGGAAAGGTTGGACTGTACTGCCCACTCCTGTGTTTAAAACAGTGAGGTGTATCCTTGGAAAACACTGGAGAAAGGCAAGCCGTTCTGATGATGGCGGTTGGGGGGTGGGGGCGAGGTGGTTTTCCAGACAGCACCTCGTGTCATGGACTCTAAAGCATGTGTCCCTAGTGTTCCAGCATGCCTCATGGCGTCCCAGCAAAGCTGGGACCAGAGTCTCCAAGACAGGTGCCCCTCAAGCCTCTGCTGCAGGAGTCTGCTGGGCCTGCATGGAGCCTCCCCTGACCTCGCCCCTCCGTCTCCACAGCTCCCCAGTGGCACAACAGATCTCCTTCCTGCACAATGGCCTCCTGAGCAACCTGTACCTGCACACCTCTGACTGCCCGGTGCCTCTGCTCCAGTGGCTGTTCCAGGTGAGTAACACAGACGTGCCACCAGGTGGCAGGAGCGCGGCAGCCTCGTGGCCCACAGGCCAGCAGGCAGGAAGGACCAGCCACTTCAATTCGCCTTGCCGCGAGTGCTATGAGGCTGGTCCTGTCCAAGAAGAGGGAAGAAGGTGATGGGCACGAGTCCTCACCTCACCTCACCCAACGTGACAATGCCAGGTTTGGGCCATGCAGGGACCCACCTGTCATGCAGAGCTGGCAACCTCCTGGGCTCCATACTGTCAGAGTGTGTGCCTCTCAGGGTGTCGTCTTTGCCACCAACCCTGCAGCACCTTTTGAATTCTGAGCCGAGGGTCCTTGAGGGAGGGGGCGTTGAGTGTCTGCGTATCCCACAGTGCAGTAGTAGGTGGCTGGGAAAGCCAGGAGCAGCTGCTGCCCCTGCTCCAATTCCTCCCTCCTGCTGGCTGCTGGGAGGTGTGGCCTCAGGGGAGCATGCATTCTGCCAGGGGCTTGGGACCTTCTCCCTGAGGGTCAGGGAGAAGCAGTAGAGCAACCTGGAGCCAACCCGGATCTGAATGCAGGGCATGAGGATGCTGCCTGGCCTTAGGCCCCGCCCACAGCTGTCCCTGTCTGGGGATGGGCAGGTCACAAGTTCCAGCTGGTCCCAGTACTGCCAGTTGGAGCCTGGAGCCCAGCTGTAAATCAGAGCCACCATGAGGGTGGATTATTCAAGGAACGCCTCAGCCCAGTCAGCCTGGCCACCTTCCAGAAAGAGCTCTCGCTGCTGCTCTGGGGTCCTGCATGGTGCTCCTCCCTGCCTCCGAGGAGAAGGGTGCCAGCTCCTGGGGCCCTTGTGTGTGGCTGTTGCCCTCATCCCTAACCCAGGCCTGGGGGGATGGCGGATGAAGGGGAAGGAACAGTGTGGTCATTATTCTCTGACCCCGTCTGCGCAGCTTCTCTCTGCTCCTTGCACAGTATGTGACAGAGTGACAATTGGGCATTGGGAGACACAAAGAGACCCTCTAAGGCAGCACCCACAGAGGGTCCCTGTGTGGCCCCGACACCCTGTGGAGCACCCTCCCACAAGGCTCAGTCCTCACAAGGCTCTGAGCCCCCAGCCTCGGCCGGCCAGCTGGATGGAAGAGCCCTCCCTGCCTCTTCTCCTACCTCTGCTAGGCCAGGGTGGGGGCGTGTCGAGGACTCAGCCCTGTGGCCAACAGCTGAAGTGCAGGCTCTGGCACTGCCTTACGGGTGTCCCCTTGGTTGAATCACCTGGCATCAGCTCTGTGCATACACTGAGCCTATAGTCCCGTGTGGGGGTTAAATGAGTAAGTCCTACAGACCACCCTGCCCTGTGGACCCCCATGCTCTGCTTAGGGCCTGGGCGTCATCCACAAGAAGAAACCAAAGCCTCGTGTCTCCTCTGGACTGAAGCCCATCAGTGAGGGGCACACAGGACCTGGGAGCCTTCTGGGGGCACTCGGTACCTCCACACTCGTGCACTTTAGGAAAGGTTTCATCTGGGAGGGGCAGAGAACCCTGGGGGTTCCTTACAGAGATACAGGGGTAGTGGAATCCCAGGTCAGGGAAGTGCTGGACCTCAGGAGGAGCTAGAGCCAGGGTCAGGGAAGGGCAGGATCCTAGGTCACTTTCTTCTCCTCCAGTTCCATGGCCAAGTAAGGCCAGGTCCTGTTCCCAAATTGGAATCCCCAGGAAGGAGAGTGTGCTTGGCCTAGGAGAAGCCAAGTGGCCTGTCCCTTCATAGGCAGTTGGATGAGTACAGTGGCAGCAGGGCTGGACTCGTGTGTATGTGAGCTCCATTCTGAGAACTAGGGGCTGGGATGGTCAGCTACTTCCTCTGTGCATTCAACTGCTTCCTGAGGACATCCTGAGTTCTCACGAGGACTCAGTCCTGTGCCTACCTCTTCCCCTTCCCAGGGCCTTCTGTTGGTGTCCTGTGGGCCCTCGTCACCAGGCTTTGGCCCCAGTGCTCTTGACCTCCATGGGCTCATCCCTGGGCCTCATGTGCATCTGCCAGCAGGCCTTCCAGGGAGTGGACAGAAGTAGGTAGCATTCACCCTTGGCAAGTTTATATTCTTATTGGGAGATGTTAAAACATTCAGTTCTGAAATAGTGAAAAGAAGGAAGGAAAGGAGGACGGCCGAGGCCAAGGCTCTGTGGCCGAGTTTCTGCAGGCTTTTTGGGCAGCTCTCCTGGGAACCCTACTGTGAGGGGGTACAGTGGCAGGCTGGCAGAGTGCTGAGCAGCAGGCAGTGAACTGCAGGAGAGATGCCTGACAGTCATAGTCCAAGGCTGCCTGAGACTAATGGCCATTTAGAGTTGTCCCAGTGGAGGCCAGGGGCCCAGCACTGGCCAGTTAGCAGATGCAGGCTGCCCTTGGAGAGGGGTGTGATCTTGGGTCAGGCACGTCCTCCAGAGTCACTGCCAGAGGACCTCAGCTCAGGGTCCTCTGGTCCTTGTGGGAACAAGAGTCTCAGTTCCCAGAGGGGAGCACCCACAGTGCCTGCCACAGCACTGAGCAGCCCTATGCAGGAGCCCAACCAGCCGAGGCCTGGCCTTGTCCCTGTGTCCCCAGACTGGATGGCACTCCATTGCTCATCTCCATGTCACACTCTCTCCATGGCCTAAATCCCTAGCACATGGCTCTTGGGCTCAAGGGGCATTCAAAAAAGGACCCCAGTGAGTTTGAGTTAGGGGGGCAACTACCCTTAGTTGTTCAAAGATCTGTGCCCAGTGCCCAGGACCAAGCCAGATAAGTTAAAGTGCTGACCTGGACATGATTTGAAGTCACAGCAGGGCCAACGCTGTCATTAGACAGCTGACTGTGGCCAGTGCTTACAAGCCCTTTCTCTTCCCTTCCACTGGCTCCTGCCTTAGAGGGGACATGGCTGTGACTGCAGGGAATGAGGGCAAAAAGACCAAGACCCCACACAGGTCATGTGGAAGGAGATTTCAGGTCACATGCATGTACCCCTGGGCCTCAGTCCTCGAATTCCTGCTTACTAGCCGCGTACCCTAGAGAAGCTGTTGATGTCTCTGAGAGTGATTTCCTCGTCTGTAAAGTGGCAATGACGACAGTATCCTCTACCACTTAAACTTGTGAGGACTAAGTGGCATTATTTAATATGAAGAACAGACTTTTGCTGCAGTTACTCCACAGGAATAACCTTTTTTCTTTCCCTAGCTGCTAACATGGCCTCCAGAAACTTCTTCAAGAGCCTTCGACCTCCTGTGGGATCTCAGTGTGGATGGGCTCTTCTGTCAGTCCGGTCAGTACTGGGATGCAGGGCGGAGCAGAGTAGCTGAGCTCTCAGGCTTGTGTAACACATGACTTTAGGTGTCCCTGAAGCCCAGTGGTGGGGACATTGCGTCACCCAAGGTGGAGACATCAGGCTCTTTGGCTCTGGCTCCAGCACTAGTAAAAAGCTGAGTTGACAGGCTTTTGGCACCTTGATCTGGTTTCAGATCCAGGTCACTATGGAAATCCAGGCTGACCTCACAGGCCCTGGGGGTCCTACAGCAGTCCAGGAAGCTGGGCTCAGACCAGGCAGGCCCCAGGTCTAAGGGGACACCTTACCTCCAAGGTCTTGCAAGGGTCCAAGTTTGCCTTGGAGGGTTCCAGGAGCATTGCCTCAAATCAGGGTGACCCCTGGGGCGGGGGCGACCAAGGCGAGTGCCCCAAAGTGCCCCTCCACAGCCCTCCTCCACTGATAGGACGTTCCTAGAGCCCTGGATTTCTCCAGGCTGCAGTGAGAGCCTCGGTTTGTGCCTCGATGGTGGCATTTGGGGGCGTATTTAGTTCAGAGTCCACAGAAACAGTGTCTTTGCTCCCTTCCCAGCTTGTCTGCCGTTGGTACCTGAACTTAGACACTTTGGCACCAAAAAATATTAAGTAACCAGTTGAAAGTTGCTTAAAGCAGATGGTGAGAGGGATTCACGGGTGCCCAGACCCTGCCTTTGCCCAGCCATAATCACCCACCTGCCTGCCAAAGCATGACCGTGCACGGCGTCTCAGGCCAAGATTGCAGCCTGGCACACTGTCAGCCCCAGCCCTGTGAGAGGTCTGTATTGTGCTTCTCTGCGTTAGGAGGTGGCTGAGCTGGGGGCCATCTGTCAATTGGAGCATTTCAGCCGCCTCCGCCCCTCCCCCAGGGAAGCCTGACTGAAGTCTTCTGAAGAGCAGCAGTCTTCACCCTTTCCCTTTTCCTAACCTCTGCCCCTGCAGCCTGGGCTGCCCTTTGGGGCCCTGGGGCCGCCTCTGCGGCATGCCTGCCCTTTCAGGAACAGAGGCCTCCCTGTCCTGGCCCTCTCCCTGCAGAGGCAAGTGTCTCTTCCACAGAGGCGGGGACATCCCACTCTCCGTTGCCTCTTGTCCCATTTTCCCTGATTCACCCTCTGTCAGGAGCCGCCAGAAAGCAGCTCTTGAGCCCCTGTTCAGCTCACCCCTGCTCCTCCAACTCCAGAGCATTTCCTGTGGATATCACCTAAGAGCCGGATCTGGATTCTCTTCCCTTGCCCAATAGGATAAAGATTGGCCTAGAGAATTCCATGCCTAAGATTAGGATCATCAACAATTCAGGGCAAGTAGAGGCAGGGTCCACGGAATAACTCAGGTAGGGACCCGAGCAGAGATTTGCAGACTGATGGATATTCACTGCAGCATTGTTCACGAGAACCGAAAGGTGGAAGCAACCCACATGTCCATCAATGGGGGAACGGATAAAGCAAATACAGTATATGTGTGTACTGGAATATTATTCAACCTTTAAAAGGAAGAATATTCTGTCACATGCTACAGTGTGGATGAGCCTTGAAAACCTTGTGCTAACTGAAATAAGCCATTCTTAAAAGGCCAAGTGCCTCTTCCTCTTACTCCACTCACATGAGGTCCCTGGAGCCGTCAAATTCTAGAGACAGGATGTGAAATGGAGGCTGCCTGGGGCCAAAAGAGGGAGATGGGAATTGTTAAGTAGATGCAGAACTCCAGTTGGGAAGATGATCGTGATGGCTTCCTGCCAGCGTCAGTGTCCCAAACCCTGTCACACCACATGCTTAGAAATGGTGGAGGTACCGTCAGCCGTAGGGCTCGAAACCAGGATCTTGCCCATGCTAAGCACACGGCTCTGAGAGGCAGCTCCAGCCCAGGGAGCATCTCTAAGGGGTGGTTAGGTCCAGGATGGGTGCAGGGGAAAGTCCTGCTCCTCAGGACTTGCCCACAGCGGGGTGTCTGCGGGGCTGCCTCTCCCTCTACTGTACTGTGTGTGGGAGCATGCGCACGTGTGTGTCTTCAAGTCAGCCTGACTTTTCTCATGTAAAATTCTCTCCTTGTCTGTGGTTTGTCGCGGCTGTCATGGGAGACTCTTATGCAAGCGCTTATGTCTCAACCTATTTCCTGAGTCAGGGAGAGCTGATGGGCGCAGGATAGACCTGGGACCAACCTTCAGAGCAGTTACTGTCGGGGATCTGCTGCAGTGCCAGGCTGAGGGCCTGGGTGTCCCGTGGTGCAGTAGTGCAAGGGGTGGTGTGGGGACCAGGTTCCTGGTTGAGAAGTGGCCCGCTTCACTGGTGCTGAGGTCTGGGTGAGTCAGAGAACGAGCTTTCCAGGTGCTGTTCCTCACAGCCATTTATTCGGCAGAGGTGCGCTGAGGGTCTCCTGTGTGCGGGCACCTTGCTGGACGCAGAGGGAGATCAAGGAGTGAAGGAGACATGACTACTGTCCTGGGACAGCACGGTCCAGTGGGATGGCATGAAACAAGCTACTCAGGAGGGTGGGCACGTGACTTCCAGCTGGTGGGGTTGGTGCGTGGAGTGGCAGGAATCAGGACATGCCTTGTAGAAGAGGGGTGCCAGAGCTGTGGCTGGAGAGACATAGGAGGTAGGGATGGTAAACCCGCTTGCCTGCGGGAGTGCAAAGGCAAGAGAGCTCTTCCATGTCAAAAGAGGCTGTCTGCACCGGTATTGGTACAGATGAGTGTGGATCAGGCATCACCAGATCTTTCCGTTTTCAAGAGAAGTTATGTTTTAGTGAGGATCTGTTTTGCCTCTCAGTAACAAACTCCTGATGAAGGTAGTGCTTATCACACATGATAGTAGGTGGGGGTGGGGTCCATGATGTGTTCAACAGATCCATAGCATCAGGCTCAGGCCTATGTGTCCACCCCTTCCACCACTTCCCCTCAGGGCTGCAAAATAGCTGCCATGGCCCCAAGCATCATTTTGTTCCTGAGACAACAGTATTCAAGGTAGAAATGAGGTTATCATTTTGCATACCTTTTTCTTTTTATCAGGACATTCTTTCCATTTTGTTTCATTAGCTTGTGACAGAACTGGGTCACAAGCTTTAAAAGATATTTCCCATATTTTCCAACTGTTGATGCATTTGAATATCCTGGCTCTATCTGAAGAATTTTCATCCTCAGGAATCCTGCCCCTCCAGGGCAGAACCCAAGGAACTCGATTTTCCAGCCTCCTTTCGGATATATGAAGGTTTAGCTTTTGAATTAATCCCCGAACAGTACAATGTAGCAGTTACATACATGGCATGACATTGTGTTAGATGTTGTAAGTAATTTGCAGATGATTTAAGGAATACTGGAGAATGTGCTTAGTTTATATACAAATACTATGCCATCTTACATAAAGATTTGAGCATTCTTAGACCTGCAGAAAGTACTAGAATCAGTTCCCCTAGACAGAAAGGGGTAGTTATATTTTCTTGAGCATCTCAAACATAGTTATAACAGCTCCTTCACATCCTTTGTCCGTCATTCTAATGTCCGGTGGTGGTGGTTGTTTTTGGTACTGGGGATTGAACCCAGAGGTGCTCTACCAATGAGCTACATTCCCAGTCCCTTTTTATTTATTTTGAGGCAGGCACTTCCTGTGTTGCTGATGCTGGCCTTGAATTTGTAATCCTTCTGCCTCAGCCTCCCAAATAGCTGGAATTACCGGAGTGTACCACCACACCTAGCAACATTTAGGTCACTTAAATCATCAGGTGGAAAACTCAGAATAAAAGTAAACCTTTCTTTAGAATGACTAAAGAAATCATCCCAAATCCTGGACTCTGAGATCTTTCTCCTAGATCTCTTCAGGTACTTTCCAGAAATGCTCATGTAGAAATGCTTCCAGATTGCAACTTGTCTTCCCTACCTACCCTAGAGTACTCACTGGGGCCCGTGCAAGTGAGGGGCCTAAGCCTTGGCTTAATTAGCTTTATGGTAAACTGGCCACTGGTATGTAATAAACCTGATTTCTGCTGAAATGGTCAGGGCCTGTTTCTGTTGCTTGTGGCTCAGAGCTTGGACTTCTGCAGTAGTCACTCTTATCCCAATCTCTGTGGAAGCAGATGGAATGGCTCTTCAACTGGGGTGGACTCACTCTCCTCGCCCTGAGCAGACGCCGGCACAAAACTGGGGTTCCCTTGCAGGGAAGGAGTGCATATGGCTCTTGGACCAGCAGCCCGCAGAATATGCCACAGCTAAATACAGATGTTGATGTGAAATCTCCTCTTAGAACTAGATGACTTAAAGAGAAGAGAAGCAGGAGGAGGGGGCTTCCTCACAAGGGCAGAGTGGGGCAGGGTGGAGCAGAGGGAGCGCCCAGTGAACCTGTGCTCCAGATGAGCAAGGTCCTACCAAACACCACCACCAAACAAACTAGCTGAAAGATCTCCGGAGAGAACACAGGGGCCACTGAGGCACAGGGAAGCTTTAATAATATTTGACGAGACCAGAGTGGAATTGTGGGGGTTCCCCCCCCCACGTACTACACAGTTAATCCTTTTATAGTGCGTAATTTTGTGGTTCTTAGTACATTCACAGAGTTCAACTGTCACTACTGTCTAATTCCAGAACATTCTCATGACCCCCCCAAAGTAACTCGTTCCCATCAGCAGCCCCTGCCCATGATTCCCTTCTTCCCCAGCTCCTGGCAGCCTTGGTCCACCTTCTGTCTCTGTGGATTTGCCTCTTCTGGATATTTCCCATAGAGGGAATCTTGGAGTGTGCACTTTTGGTATCCTGCCCCTTTCCCAACCAGGTGTGTTCAAGGTCCATGCAGGTCCCAGCACTCCATTCCTCTCCGGGCTGACTATGGTTCCATTGCACAGGTGACCACATTGTGCGGATCTGCTCAACAGATGACAGACACGTGGGGTGTTTCCCCTTTTGGTGATTGTGAGTTTATGAGCACCTGCATGCAGGTGTTTGGGCATATGGTTTCAATTTGGTCCAGTCTAGTCTCAGGAGAAGAATTGTGGGATCACATA